ACTACATCAGTTGGGATAAATAATATACCAAACTAATTTGGTATAGGACTAAATTTCAAAACATAACACATAGTTAAAATACTTAAAGACTTAATTGAACTCATGAATTAAATATTCCTATGTAGTAAAAACAAAGACTTCCTTATCATCAAGGTATGTTATTACCACGCATGAGTAATATACTTTGTTGTCTCCCCTAGTCGACCCATTTCAGTCATATCTAGGTCACAACACAACAACATTGTTTTTCACAGGTATGACTAACACACAATTCATCATTGAGACTTCCGTCTTATTGTTATGCGGAATAAATAGTCTCTAACTTTTACTTGATTTACTTTATTCACTGTTAATTAATAGTATAGAATAGGTTTAACATAATACAGTTTTCATTCTTTTGAAATATTACACAATTTATATAATTTATATTTACTGATACAAAATGTTTGATATCCATATTTTACAGTTACAGACTGTATAATATTAATGAACTGTCAATTGATAATTTAATCTTAGCATCCTCTATAGCATGAGTAATCGTTCTCGTGCAGTTGACGATGACCTGTTTGCCATCTCTCCCTGAAATTGTATGTGTAGCTTTTAGCTTTGCTACCATAATGATTTCCTATATTTCGTGTAACTTGTGTTACTTCATTTGTTTTAATATTCTTCTCTGGTTTCTGAACAACGTCAGTAGTTATCTTGCTTTCTGTACGTTCGTTTGGTTCATCAACCAACTCAATATAAATATTATGGCATTGCTTTGGCCTTTCATAATACATCTTGCTTCGGTATCTTTCATTAGAACATGATATATTCTTTCTTAAATTACTATATTTCCCACATGACTTTCTTTGTACATAATTGTTTCTTCTCTGATTTGCCAACCTATGCCAACATTGATTTTGGTAATGACCTGTTTTTCCGCAGTAAAAACATCTAGATTTTGGCTTCTTATAAACATGGTGACTGTATTCATAGTTTGCTAAATTTCTTTTTCTTTCATTCTGTGCATTAATGACATTAATGACATTCTTATTAACATGTTGACTGTATTCATAGTTCGCTACATTTCTTTTACTTTCATTCTGTGCATTTTTATTAACATGGTGACCGTATTCATAGTTTGATAGGTTTCTTTTACTGTCAGTTTGTAATTTATTGACATTGTAGTTTGTAGATATTGTTTCATCTTTCTGAACTTCCTTGTGCTTCTTTATTGATTCTAGTTCACACATAAATTTCTGGGTTAATTTCTCCATTTCTTTGTTAAATTTTTTCTTGAGTTCTAGTATATCTTCTTTATAGTTTGACTCCAATTTTCGAAGTAAATCTTCAATAGGTACGTTCTCTTCATTGTGGCTTATTAAGTTCACTGATTCATTAATCATCATTAGTTTATCATGATTCCTGCCATTCTCCGATGGACTTATTAAATCATCACTGCCATTGACTGATGGGCTTATTAAATCATTTTGACTACCATTCTCTGATGTACTTGTTTCTTGTTGACTGCCATTCTCTGATGGACTTGTGATACAACTTTCAATAATATTCTCGTGTACCTGCGTTTGAGTCAATAAAGAGTCAAACTTAAGACATTCTAATGTATCTGTCACCTTTAAATCATTATTAAGTTCAACCTCTGTTTTATCCTTGGGTTTCAATTCTTCCTGGACTATGTTACTCTGTTCTTCATTCCAAAGGTTGCCAATATTTACTTCTTCAAGTTCTGCCTGTTGACTTTCTAATTTTGGTTCATGTGTGTATGTAGCATCTCTTAATCTATCACGCATTATTTCTATCTCATCATCTAATTCTCTAATTACTTCTTCATGAACTAGTCGGGGTTGTTCTGTTTCTTTGTCTAATGCTTCTTTTTCTCCTTCTCTGTCTTGTTCAAGTCGATTGGTTGCCCAGGCTATCTTCTTCTTCATCTTCTTAATGCCTAGATCCCTCGCCATTTCCATATATTCTTCTAGTCTTGACATCTTGACCATCGGAATGTCAAGCTCCTTCATTAGCTCTTTAAAATATGTACGACTTGACATTTTGATATATTTTGTATGACATAAAATATAAATACATTAGTTGACAATAGATAAATGTTAATTAATTTACAATACCCTTTCTTGGTTTCTGGCTTGTTTTAGTTGATTACAGACATCTGGTAATCCAAGAAAAGTTCATAGTACATAAATACGTCCAAAAATAGTTCACTTTGTTGATTCCAAAAAGTTGAAAAAATTCAAAATAGTTTTAGTAGCCTGTTACAGAGTTGAAATTTGTCCAGTTTTAGATAAGACATCTTTAGGAACAGTTTAGGAACAGTTACAAAAATAAACTTGATCTGCTAAATCCAAACAGTAGAAAAACTTGAACAGCTAATCCATATAGAAAAAACTTGAACAGCTAAATCCAAACAGTAGAAAAGAAACACTAAGACTTGATCGGCTAAATCCAAACAGAAAAAACACACAGACGATATTTACTCGACATTGGTGAGACAATATCGAAATAAGGTGATAAAAATTATCACGTTGATGACTTGACTTGAACAAAACGTCTGACTTGACTACAGCAACCCTTCTGACTTGAGTGTAGATAGATGACTTTCAAGAACTTGACGTACTTGGTAAACAGTGGAAGACCACAGACTGTAATATCTCCATTTCTGACATATGTAGCACCAATTCTTCAACCACTTGTGACATCATAAGTAACAGTAATACAATGTAGCAACATCACTTTATTGCCTCCACTTCTGACACCATATGTAACAACATGAATTCTTTGTTGTTGTGGGTTAGCTTTCATACAGAAACACGAGCAACAGTGGCAACTTCAAATGACAACTTTATTTACACTATGTACAGATAAATCCGTGGTACATCCATATTTGAAGATCAACTGATATAGGTACAAATAATAATCACGACTCCAAGTCATGGAGACATCTTACATTCACTGCCATCGTTCCAGTCCCAAGTCCTAGCACACAACACCCGTTCACCTTTCGCTCTCTCTTTTATTCACCACTTTCTCTCCCCTTACGTCAATGAGCGATCTCACCCAAAACACGGAAAAACACATGACGATCGCTCAGACAGTCCTTCCGCTAGCCAGGTACTCTTCATTCATGCAAAACACAATTTAATAAAGATACATAATAATACAGTCTGTGACAACTACATATCAGGTTCATATACTATATATCAGGTGTCATATACTACATATCAGGTTCATATACTACATATCAGGTGTCATATACTACATATCAGGTTCATATACTACATATCAGGTTCATATACTACATATCAGGTGTCATATACTACATATCAGGTTCATATACTACATATCAGGTTCATATACTACATATCAGGTTCATATACTACATATCAGGTTCATATACTACATATCAGGTGTCATATACTACATATCAGGTGTCATATACTACATATCAGGTTCATATACTACATATCAGGTTCATATACTACATCTCAGGTTCATATACTACATATCAGGTGTCATATACTACATATCATGTGTCATATACTACATATCAGGTTCATATACTACATATCAGGTGTCATATACTACATATCAGGTGTCATATACTACATATCAGGTGTCATATAATAGGTGTCACCCTCGGGACGGGTGTCATATACTACATATCAGGTGTCATATACTAGGTGTCACCCTCGGGACGGGTGTCATATACTAGGTGTCACCCTCGGGACGGGTGTCATATACTAGGTTTCACCCTCGGGACGAGTGTCATATACTAGGTGTCACCCTCGCGACCGGTCACATATACTACATATCAGGTGTCATATACTAGGTGTCACACTCGGGACGGGTGTTATATACTAGGTGTCACCCTCGGGACGAGTGTTATATACTAGGTGTCACCCTCGGGTGTGTCATATACTACATACCAGGTGTCATATATTAGGTGTCACCCTCGGGACGGGTGTCATATACTAGGTGTCACCCTCGGGACGGGTGTCATATACTAGGTGTCACCCTCGGGACGGGTGTCATATACTAGGTGTCACCCTCGGGACGGGTGTCATATACTAGGTGTCACCCTCTAGGTGGGATGTTGTAGGTGTAGGTGTCACCCCTGTTTACACAGTTTACCACTGTCCAAATCTCATGAATCCAACCCCTCCACACCCAAAATTAGTTTCAAATCCCATATCACACAACCTACATACCGTGTGTTTCAAATCTGTTGAAAGATGGCTTTTTATTTTTAAATAATGTTCATATCCCAAATATGCCAGAAAAAAAAATGTATTTTTATATTTTTTAACATAAAAAATTGTCACACATACATCATGTCAGATATTAGAAACGTGTTGTATGTTATGTTGTCCCCGTTGAACATTATTTATATATGTATATATATATATATATATATATATATATATATATATATATATATATATATATATATATATATATATATATATATATATATATATAGCAATGTGGTCGGGTGACCGATAGGGCACTTCCCGGCGCCGCAGGCTTTTCAACATTGGCAGGATGCCGCCTTGAGGCAATAGAAAACGGGGGCCGGTGCCTGTCGGCCGCAAAGTCCACGAAGAGAGGGTCAAAACAGACCTCAACTGACCGGCGCCTTATATGAGCTATATATGGAAAAAAACTTTTACCGAACGACCCACCTTGATATTTTTTTGAGGTTTAAAAAAAAAAACACTTAGGGGTGTCTGAAAAAAACTCGCCATATCCGGGAAAGTCTGCAAAGTGGTCAACTGACCAGTCGTATTTCCCGATATAATCTTTGTAATATATGGGGTGACGCTTTTTACAGCATCAACTGTTTTTGTGGAAGTTCAGATCGCAACAGAGCGTAGAATAAGGACACACATAATTTTAAGATAAAAACTGACAATTTTTAATTCACAGTCAATTAATTTATTTTATTTCATTTTATGTATAAAATAATGCAAACAAAAGCTGTTTTATTTTCGTTTTCAATGCAAAAAAAAAATCAAGCCAAGTTAACGTTGAGTCCACAACGACCTCAGATAGATGTAACTCATACAGCTAAATTAGCTTATTAAATCAATTTCCCAATTAATTACTAATTATTAATAATTGTTTTAATTGCCGAAATCCGCATCTAAATATGATGGAGATATAGTTTTTATACACAAGGGCTTTGAAGTTTTATGTACGGTTAGTGTGTATTTAACTCTGGGAGTACGTGGATGAGAATCTGCATACATTTTACCGTGGTGAGTAATTGGTGGTGTTAGGTTTCTCACGCTCACTGTGGTGGTATCGTGTGTAAAGTGGGGGACCTCGCTCAGTGTGTACGGTACATGTTCAAAGTGTGTACAGTATATAGCAGATGTGTGTACGGTGCATGCTCAAATTGTGATCAAAGTGTGTGTGGTATTTGATTGAAGTGTGTATGCTATTTAATTGTGTAAGTTTGATTTTTAAAAAAACATGCAGCGTGTATTTTATGAGCAATATTAAACTGCTTCTACTGTACACAACACAAAAGCTAGCAAGTGGGGGAACAGGGGGGCGGGTGATCATTTCCTTGAAAGTATTTTATTTATTCGGAAAATATTGTACTAAAAGAATCGCAAGAGTTTGTACTCACTGTGTAGATAAGAAATAAATTATGGTAGAGGTGAGAGATCCGTATCGTGTGTAATTATACCACATGTTTTGAAACTTTTCAATGTTAACTGTCTTTTAACGGTACTATTCTGTTTGTATTGTTTTGTTATTATTTATTTTTAGTAAGTAAGTATTAATCTATAACAAATGTAAGGAATTACTACTAGACAGATACAAATCAGAACATATAATCACGTTTTAGTTCAAAATTAAATTGAAAAATTCATATATTGTTAAAATCTGCATCTAAGGCCTGAATAGTCCAACTCTCAATAGTTAGGGTTTTGGGATAGCATTTGGTCTATAATTATGATAAGTATTGGCTTGCATGATGTATCTATCTCCTTGCTGACGATACGGGCTAATCAAATGAAAATCTTCGACACTTTTTGGGAGACCGGTAATTTTATTAAAGACAGTAAATTAGTTTAATTTTCATACTTTCGGTTAAAGCCTATTTTTAAAATGTTTTTATATTGTTTTTATAATTTGTATCATTTTTCGGTCAATTGTTTTTGCGTGTTTTAAATCAAAATCATTTCGATCAAACTCTTTGAATGTGTAACTCTGTGTGTATATAGAAGAGGTGTAGAGAGTGTTCTGTCGAAGTATTGTTGGAATGTTTGTTTTGACAAAACTTAAAAACCAAAAAGAAAAAAAAAGATTGATATAAAAAAAAATAAGATTCTAGTTTGGCTCCACTCTGAACCCCATGGAGGGCACCAGGCACTGCTTGCTCTTGAACTTTGTTTTTGACTGCAGCACAGGAAGTGACGTCACGGCCTCGGCGGGAATAGGCATGACCTTGACCTCTGCTGAGTCACAGTTGCTGACGCTGAGTGTGTCGGGGTTGAGGGAGTAGGCGCCGACCACGTCATTCTGGTGGGGATGAGAAGGGAAGGGTAGGGGGTGAGCTAAGCAGTTGGGTTGATATAATACATATGGGGAGATTGAAAGAGACAAAACAAGTACTTTTTGTACTGACCCACTCTTTCACTGCTCCACTTTTTTGTACTGACCCACTTTTCTTTTGTTCTGACCCACTTTTTTGCAGTGATCCACATCTTACGCTTACTTAATTGTTCATAGACTGACCTTTTTGACCTGTATCTGACTCCCCACAGGAACGTTGAAGGTCCTGATCCATTTCGGCTCACACTTGAGACTGTTGGTACCGAGGTGGGTGTAGTTTGACCTGAAGTATAGGTCAAAAGGTCAATCTTTTACGGCTAATAACTCAAACGTTGGTCGTTGAACACAACCCAGAGACATCCATAGTTATGTCTATGTTACGATTGTTTTGATTATGATAGTAAATGTCAGTTTCTAACAGTGAAATCATTTAAAATAGCTCGAAGCATTTAGTCGCACAAAAATATTAAGAACCACACCGGTCAAAGGTTATTTGCAACGGGTGGTTTTATTAAACTCCCCACCCTCCCCTACCTTTAATTATTTGAAAATAACTCGGGAAAAAAGGTGGGGAGGAAAAAGTAATTAAATAATTTCTCGTTGTGAGACGGAGTACTTTCACTTTTGCACGAGCATAAAAACATGGCTGCCGTGATATTACCGTAAAAAATTTCTTGACCAAATAAATTAAGAACATCTAATATAATTGTTTAACGCTGTTTTCATTAAAACGTAGTTCATAATGAGATATCTACTATTTAGTTAAAAACGTCAATAATTGATAGCAATGTGCGAATCTTGTGAAAGATCTAGCCACTTTCTCTAAATTTCCGCCAAAATATTTTGATATACATTAAGGCTCCACCACTCTATACAAACTTAACAGATAGATCCATCTGTACCATTATAGAAGTTCATTTTAAATGTAGTGGCTCGATTGTTTAGTTATACACTTTTTTTTATTGTAACTAGTAGAATAGACTTAGAATAACAAACATAGAGTTGAAGTCATGAGTAAAAGACCACTATTGTAAACAAATGTGATTGTAAAATACACAAATGTAGCTTAAAAATGTCTTACCCCGATGGTCTGAAGACAATAAAGTTCAGGGTTCCTTTCTTCTCGCAGTAGTAGTACCATCTGGTTATGTTGCCGTCGAAAGGGATTCTGTGGAAATTAGTATTGAATGAGCAACAAATGACATAATCAACGTGATTTGTTCACGCAATAAATTATGGACGGGAGGAAAATTGTATGTTTATTTGGGTTATTTACTGAGGGGTGATACAAAGCATGGTTACAACGAATATTTGGAGGCAGGGTTATGTAGAAAATGTATGTGCAGAAATGATAGTGGGTGGGGGATATATGACACGACCAAAACAAGTCTAGTGAGTGTGATCAATGTAGAAATTGTTAACTCCCCTTAGTAGTCGGTACGATTAGCAAAAATTGTTTTCCCTTTGCAAGATCATGTGATTCAGTTTATATCAAGCTATAAAGTAAACATCCTTGACTTGAGCTTTTCATCGGTGATGAGAGAGAAAGCTCAAACATCGGCAACATCTGGCTCTTCTCATCCTACTGCCCAGGAGATGCGCATTGATTTCCATAGCGCCATGGTCGAATCGTTTATCAGAGAGACATTTATATATTTTAACAGGGGATTTTATATTTAAATATTTAAATGAAAGTATCCCACGTGTAGTCGTCGATGTCCATGAGAAAGGCCAGTTTCTCAGGTAAAGTCTCCCTGCGGTCTCTGATCTTTTCCAGGTGGATGTCAACAGGTGATGGTGTACCTGTACAGAAAGGTGGTTTCTGTCAATCTGGAATCTTCGAAACGGCTTATTAAAAAACTAGAAACTTAAACCACAAATGTAGATTCTACGTACTTTGACAAATGGGTTCAGTTCCCAGCAGGGTGCCAGAAGTAGAACACGCCCTGTGTAAGTCACCACCCACGTGATACAAATGATCCTTACAGGTGAAGGTCATTGCCTGACCAGGGGAGATAACAGCTGATTGAGATTTTCTGGTGTAAGTTGTCCCTACAGGATCAGAGCACTGGATGGCCACTGCAATAGATCAAGTCCTACGAGCTAGGTTTGGGTTAGGATTATATTGCTGGGTACGATACAGTTTTACAACATTAGGTTTGAAATATTTTACTTGGAAGGTGACCAATTCAGTTGTAAGAATTTTGACAAAACAGCACAGACATCGTTGGATTTTCTTGAACATACTAAAAGCAATGAGCTATTAACGTACCATTTAATAAAAACAATGTCAGCTGTACACAATGAATGACAGATTAAGTTCCTATTCAGCTTGAAACCTCAATAAATATTTTTTAAATTTGATGATACCAAACATGAAATCTTTACTCAGATAAAAATGTCACTCCCACTCAATAATCACCTGCCATCCTAACTAGATTGAAACACTCTGTATCGATGCCCCATAAGGACCTTAATTCGTCATCATCTTCGTTCTTAATTTTAGTGTTGCAACACAATTAAGTATACGTGTCATTTTATTATGCGCCATTGAGGCAATTGACTCTCATTTCAGCCTGCTTTTCTTTTTGGATTTGCTTCCATAGCCTTTGTCCAACCAAGAAAAAACTACAAGGCAGCAGTTGTTTGATTTTGGAGTTGACTCTTCTAGAAGAGTGGCTGTCCCCAGCTAATGAGCCTCATCTGCTCGAAGGTTCGAACTCGAGACTTTACCAACTCGACCACTCCGACCCCCTACCTTAATTCTAATTGTTTCGTTTAAGACCTGACCTTCCTACCTGGACACCCTCCACATGACCTCTTGCAGTAGGTCAAGGCCGAATTCTTCGATCTTTTATCTGAGCAGAACTCCGGGAATTTGGCCAGAATATTTTTACAGTTTTGATATTCATCGTCGCATGAGCCAGTCGCTGAAAGCAATACAAGTTATCAGATTAATCATAACAACGGGAATTTGGCCAGAATATTTTTACAGTTTTGATATTCATCGTCGCATGAGCCAGTCGCTGAAAGCAATACAAGTTATCAGATTAATCATAACAACGGGAATTTGGCCAGAATATTGTTACAGTTTTGGTATTCATCGTCGCATGAGCCAGCCGCTGAAAGCAATACAAGTTATCAGATTAATCATAACATCGCCTGTCTTTATAATGAAATCTTTCACTCTCACGTATACTAAAACCTATGTAATAGATTTTTTTAATTTAAAATAATTTTTGGTGTCAACAATTTAAGTTATTTTTACACATCTATTAGGTTTAGCATTTGACAATATTTGAAATAGTTAGGGCTAGGATTATTAAAAGTAATGTTCATCATATGTTCCCGTTCGTGCCAAAGAAACATGGGGCAGATTAAGTATAGTTCAACATGCTTCAAGGACCACGGCATATTATGGAAATGTGTGGTCAGCACTTAGCACAGCCACCTTTGCTTAACCTAACAAGAGTTAGGTACTCATCAGAGCTGGGTGGACTCAGGGACAAATGTACTCATCAGAGCTGGGTGGACTCAAAGACAATGGTAATCATCAGAGCTGGGTGGGGGGGGGGACTCAGGGACAATGGTAATCATCAGAGCTGCGTGTACTCAGGGACATTCTACTGAAAAACGTAAAGGTTATGTATACTAATTAGGTATTCTGGATCGTCTTTATTCCGCTATATTAATTCTAAATGTGTTCACTGCATATTGTGTTAACTATTTAAAATACGCAAGCAAATCTTAAAACATTATAAATTTTGATCATGTTAATTGGGCAGAAATGTAAACCTTAAATAACAATAAAATGACTTAGTATAATTAGTGCTTTAGTTTTCATACAAAATTAAACATTATTGTAGTGTTAATAGCTGGGTATTGCAGTCCTATTGAAACAGTTTAACACAAAATCTCACCACTACAGTTTAGCGCCTGACCCGACCAACCAGTTTTGGTACATCTGATGATGTTGACTAAAGAACCGGAAGTTGTACAAGTCACGTTGATGACCTCCCCTACCTTGTACACACTCTTCAATCCTCCAGCGGCGTACACATCAGATGGTAGGCTGGGTGGGCTGCATGTGGCTGATGAAGACATATTTTAAAAAGCTGTCTTTATACCGAAACCCTTCGTTCAACACTCATTATGTGTATGAGATAGTTTACCTGATGAATGCATGACAACTCCACATTATCTATATCATCCTGGCTTGTTTATATGGCCTACTAACCTGATATGTAATTTGGGTTAGAAAACTCGCACGTGCTAAAGCATCCGTAGCGTTCAACGGCGCTGCTGCAAAACTCTGGAACATTCTTTTTCAGCGTGGAACATGTGCTCTTGCTCAGTATATCTACTGGGGCCTCTGTGTGCAGATTTAAACAATTATATATATATATATATATATATATATATATATATATATATATATATATATATATATATATATATATATATATATATATATATATATATATATATATATATATGTATATATATATGTATATGATCAGACTGAAAACTAGTTTTCTTACAGTACAATTGAATTATTCAATGAAAATCTAAATTGAATTTTAATTGTTCCGAAACACAGAATAAAACAACTTACTAAAGCTGCAGACGTCACAATAACGTTTATGACAAACGCTGCCCCTGACAAAAGTATAACACCAAGGCTGAAGGAGAGAGCCGCCGGGATTTCTACAGCTACTTCCGCTTTCTAATAGGGAAATCCCTTTGAAACTGCAACAGAGACACAAACATAAAGTATATGAACAAAGCAAACGCGTTTTAAACAGCTGTGCATCGCTTAAGACCGGACTAACTATTTGGTGTTTTAAGTTAATGAACTTTAAATCGTTAATTGACGATACAAGCCCTTAATCCGCCTGCAGTGTTTCTTCCAGACTTTTTCTCCGGTGGGGGGGGGGGGTGCACTTGATATTTTCGGGGGGGGGGCGGTCAACATTTTCCGGGGGGGGGGGGGGGGCTCTTACTTGAAGAAACTCTGTCCGCCTGAGGCATTGATAGTAAAGTTTGAAATGTACACTTATTTGAATGATCACAAAATTTAGATAGAAGTATGTACTTAATTTCTCTGCACTTACCCATCAAAGGGGAAGTCATCACAAGATGTGGCTTTCTCCCAAGGGACGCAAGGCTCGAAAGTTTCTGTAACAGATTTCTCACCGTAGTAGTCTGCCCCTTTTGTCGCCACATCGTAACACATCTCCTCAGCTGAAAAAGAGAACAACAAACAATGCAAGTGTCTAAAGTTTTATTTCAATTAGGTGGCTCTAAGCAAGCATTGTACTTATTTATTATTATTACTTATTTAAATAGTACAGACCAAATATGTGTCAAATCGAGACACTAGCGCTATCGCAGATTTAATCAACTGCCCCAAACCAAAAACCACTTGTCTTTCTAGAGCAATAGCTCTTAAACTCATGCAAATATACAATTTCAATAGAATAATATCAGACAAAGCAACACAATCTAATTCACTATGACTTCCATACTTGCATATTCAATAACATAAATAATTTTCTATAATAAAAAATGTCTGGCTGTTTTTACCGAGCACAACATCCACCGTGAAGTTAATTCCCCTGTTGTTGGTTTTCTCCCATGAAGCCCAGTACTGTAGAGACAAGTAGTCTCCCTCACTGACCAACTGATAGGGTTGGTAGTCGCCGTTGATGCTGGAACAATTTTCATTTAAATAGCTTAACTAAAATTTTATAAACATATGGTAAGAATCTTGTTTCACTGATTACAGTTCACATACCATCCTTCACTAACCATATGACAATAACTCACATCTCACAGTTTCTAAGATTTCTGAGCGGATCACAGTTGTCCACTTGTCTTAGTATACCACTACAACACCACGCATGGACTGGCGGCATGGGGGGGGGGGTCCTACCACCATGCCGTCATACAGTCGTAAAAGCATAAAGCTCTACAAAGAGATTTACATGACAGTGTTCTGCCGTGATGTCACGCATACTTGCATGATAGGGTACTGCCATGACGTCACGCTTACAGGATAGGGTACTGTCATGACGTCACAGACTTACAGGATAGGGTACTGTCATGACGTCACAGACTTACAGGATAGGGTCCTGCCATGACGTCACGCAGACTTACAGGATAGGGTCCTGCCATGACGTCACACAGACTTACAGGATAGGGTCCTGCCATGACGTCACACTTACAGGATAGGGTCCTGCCATGACGTCACACAGACTTACAGGATAGGGTCCTGCCATGACGTCACACAGACTTACAGGATAGGGTCCTGCCATGACGTCACACAGACTTACAGGATAGGGTCCTGCCGTGACGTCACACAGACTTACAGGATAGGGTCCTGCCATGACGTCACACAGACTTACAGGATAGGGTCCTGCCATGACGTCACACAGACTTACAGGATAGGGTCCTGCCATGACGTCACACAGACTTACAGGATAGGGTCCTGCCATGACGTCACACAGACTTACAAGATAGGGTACTGTCATGACGTCACAGACTTACAGGATAGGGTACTGTCATGACGTCACAGACTCACAGGATAGGGTCCTGCCATGACGTCACACAGACTTACAGGATAGGGTCCTGCCATGACGTCACACAGACTTACAGGATAGGGTCCTGCCATGACGTCACACAGACTTACAGGATAGGGTCCTGCCATGACGTCACACAGACTTACAGGATAGGGTCCTGCCATGACGTCACACAGATTTACAGGATAGGGTCCTGCCATGACGTCACGCAGACTTACTGGATAGGGTCCTGCCGTGACGTCACGCAGACTTACAGGATAGGGTCCTGCCGTGACGTCACACAGACTTACAGGATAGGGTCCTGCCATGACGTCACACAGACTTACAGGATAGGGTCCTGCCGTGACGTCACGCAGACTTACAGGATAGGGTCCTGCCATGACGTCACACAGACTTACAGGATAGGGTCCTGCCATGACGTCACACAGACTTACAGGATAGGGTCCTGCCACTTGTGGAATCGCTTGATGAGGAACTCGTCCTTGACGTGTGGGTCAAACTTGTTCAAGGTCAGCTTCAGTCTGGAACCAGCAGGTACCTAAAAAAAAACCACATGTGTTGGAGGAAATTCTTTCTAGCATCACAACTAAGAACAAATAAGAAGAAAAAGAAAATTTGAAGAGATTTTTCGAGAGAGAGATAAGGGAAGATGGAATTTCAATGTTGAGTTCAAATACTCGTCTCGTCCATATGCTAACCACAGAGTTACGTCATCAAAAAGTCGAACAATGCCAAAAAATGTAACCAGCCGGTAGGTGAGAGCAAGTAAAAAAATTAAGGCTTACAGTAAAACTGTAAAAACACCGCCTGTCTGGCTCCCTCTTGGATCCGAACCCAGGTGTAGTGATGGTCACTGACTTGTGAGTGCTGTTCAGAGTGACGAATTGGCTGCAGCCTTGAGATGGGAGAAATGATATGGTCAATAACACATACGAGACTGTTGTTATAGAATATATTTTAATATGGTGTATATATAACGCCTAAATGACAGATGCTATTAAATATATATTCATCTATTTAACATCTATGTAAGGCCTAAAAGATTGCTGCTATACAAAAAAAATTAATCTATTTAACTGATAAGGCCTACATGATTGCTGCTATTAAATATATGTTTAAATCTATTTAACTTGTAAGGCCTAAACGACTGTTACTATCATAAAAAATTTAATCTATTTATCATATAACGCCTACATGACTGCTGCTATAAAAAAATTAATCTATTTAACATATAATGCCTAAATGACTGATGCTATTAAATATATTTCAACTATTTAACATGTAAAGCCTAAAAGACTGCTGCTATCAACAAATTTTAATCTATTCAACATATAAGGCCTACATTACTGCTGCTATTAAACATATTTAATGCAGCCTTGAGATGGGAGAAATGGTATGGTAAAAAATAGACATGTATATGCTGTTATTGTGAACAGTTTTGTCTATTTTAACATGTACATATCGTAACCTCACCGTATACTGGCGGCTGGTAGTGACACAGGTAGTGGAGGAACGACGTCTTGTAGAAGAAACTGAGGGGTGGTTCGGGGCCGTACTTTAGAGAATGTTCCGTCCAAGTTGTAATCTTGGAGTAGGTGCTTTTCATACCTGACGGATATAGGAGAGAACTTAGTTGTGGGACGGAGTGGTCTAGCGGTAGAGAGCTGGACTGCTAACCCGTAAGTCTCGAGTTCGAATCCGGGTTCAAGTCAGTAGACAGTCCCTGAGTCAACCCAACTCTGATGGGTGCCTAACTCACGTTAGGGAAAGTAAAGGCGGCTGGGTATAATGCTGACCACACTATCTCTTCATGTGCCGAGGTCACAGAAACAAGTGAACTCTACTTCAATTTCCCCATAGACCGTCAGGTTTTAAAGGGTAAATTTAGTTGCTAGGATTATGTAAACCTGATTATTTGTTTGTACTTTCTAAAAATTTTACCTATTCTGCTCTATTGCGACCTTGAACTACACGACACGTCTGATATTTATTTACTACGTTATCCTACACGACACTTATTCTATTTATCAACTACCTAGAACTACCGGACACTTGTGATATTTAACTACTTTGAAATAATGATATTTATCAACTAAGTAGAACTACCTGATACTTGTGATATTTAATAACTATCTTGAACTAATGATATTTATCAACTACCTTGAACTAATGATATTTATCAACTACCTTGAACTACAGGACACTAATGATATTTATCAACTACCTTGAACTATAGGACACTTGTGATATTTAATAACTACATTGAACTAATGATATTTATCAACTACCTTGAACTACAGGACACTTGTGATATTTAATATCTACCTTGAACTAATGATATTTATCAACTACCTTGAACTACAGGACACTTGTGATATTTATCAACTACCTTGAACTAATGATATTTATCAACTACCTTGAACTAATGATATTTATCAACTACCTTGAACTAATGATATTTATCAACTACCTTGAACTAATGATATTTATCAACTACCTTAAACTAATGATATTTATCAACTACCTTGAACAACAGGACACATGTTATATTTATCAACTACCTTGAACTAATGATATTTATCAACTACCTTGAACTACCGGACACTTGTGGTATTTAGCCACTAGTTTGAACGGCTCTGAGTTGGGCAGTTCGACCACTAGCCCGTAATGTTCTTTGTCCCTACAGCAGTAGTTGATCCTGACGATGGTGCCGTTGATGGTGATGTTGCCGATGTCTCCTATTGGGTGGCTCTCTTCTATCGTCTTAAATTCTAGACCACCGTCCTCAAAAACTAAAAGAAAAAATATTTCAATTCTTATCTTACTCATTGTCCTCAAAAACTGAACGAAATAAAATAAAAATATTTTTTAAATTATTTTCAACTTTGTTCAATTTTTCATCAATTTTATTTCTCTTTTTTTCAACAGTTTAAACTCGTGATTTTTTTTTTAAATGGTTACTTCTTTTTACTTTCTCGTATATACGAAGTATAGAGAAAGTCTTGTAATCGTGCAAAAATAAAAATCGAGATTTTTACAAATCTCCACGTTTTACACCTCACTGATACGGAAAAAAAATTATTTTGCAATCTTGTCCGTATGTCTGTGTGTCTGTCTGTTTGTCTGTCTGTCTGTCTGTCTGTCTGTCTGTCTGTCTGTCTGTCTGTCCGTTTGTAAACACGATAACTTGAGTACCGTTACAGCTAGGTTGATGAAATTTCATATATAAGTATTTAATCAAAATCGTTGATCCGTATCAACTTTTGAGGGATTTCCGATAACCGGAAGTGGTACTTTTCCTACTTTGAATTTTTTCAAAAGCCTATAACTTGAGTACTATTTCAGTTAGATAAATGAAATTTCACATGTAAGTAAAAGATCTAATTCTCTACCTTCTGTTAAATTTTGAGTAATTTCCGTTTGACTGGAAGTAGTACTTTACGCTACTTCCGATTTCTCAAAAAACTAATGTAAATTTTAAAAGTACTACTAATATTGCGCACTATTATGCGCTTTTTTATTTGACGTTCACTTGGTGTGCAATTAATTTGTCTATGAGATTTTATTCTATTTTTAAAACTTTAAGTATTTAAAATGGATTAAAAATCATGTCTATAGCCCGAGTTCCCTTCCCCTGTTATTTTATATAAGAATATTCGAGAAAGTTTAGGGGAGATCACTCCCGGTTTATTATTCTTAATTGCTTTTCGTTTGTTTTTTCTTGGTCTTTTACTGTTTTTTCCTTGTGGCTTGCTCTTAAAGTTTCTTTTTCCTGGACCTCTTGAAAAGTCTCTAAGATCAGCTGAACTCTCTGCTGTATTGTACTTTGACCTCTTTTTTTGCCCACCAAAGCCAAACTTTTTGTTTTTATACTCTCGCTTTTTGTTAGGCTTGAACTGTTGCTTCCCTTGAATTTGTTTTCCTTGGTTTTGTTGCTTAGGTTGCCTCTCAATTGTTTCCAGAGGCGTAGCGAGGGGGGGGGGGGGCGGGGGGACACATGTCCCCGGGCGCCGACACCTTAGGGGGGGGCGCCAAATTAAAAGTTTGAGTGGGGGTGCAAATGAAAAGTTCGAAGGGGGGGGTGCAAATTGAAAGTTTGAGGGGGGGGTGGAAATGAAAAGTTCGAGAGGGGGGCGCAAATCGAAAGTTTGTCCCCGGGTGCCGGGAGGGGTCGCTACGCCTCTGATTGTTTCATCAAAAATATCAAGCTTATCAACTTGTCCTTTCCTAAATTTCTTAACAGATTCAAGCATTTCTCTCTTTTCTTTTTGTCTTTTCTGTAATACTTCCAATTGCACCTTTTTACCATATTTTTTCATTTCTCTCAACTTCTTTGCCTTTTTAAATTTTTCCATAGAGATTTTCTTTTCTAACAACTTGGAACGAACTTTTTTCATGTGTTCATTAGATTTTGCCATTTCAGCAAAATAAGTCTTCTGGCCTTTTGGTTGGAACAGATAATTTGGCAAGTCGTTTAAGACCCTCTAAAACAGTTGCTTGTGCTTGTCTGTAGAATTTAAGTTCCCTATTAAAATCATCATTTTGCAGCTGATCACCATCCGTTTCCCCAATGTCAACTAAGGCATCATTTTGTTTGCTAGACAGGACCAATCTTTCAATCCATTTCAAACTGTCCAATGAAAATTCTTAAATTTGTCCTTTAGCCCATCCTTGTTCTTTCACTCTTGCACTATAAGTCCTGGTTGAATTTTACCTGCTGCATAAGCTTCCTATATCTCCTCGATGTCCGAATCTGATTCATTTTCGTCCATGTTCATCATTCACCTCGTGTTGTTGTATTTACAGGTTTAAACTCGTGATTAGAAAGAAAACGATAGACTCGTCTTAAAGCACTGCGCAATGAACATTTAAAAACATTGTTATTACTTGAAGCTAAAGGTACATCAAGAGCGAAAATGTTTTATAAGCAGAGATATTCATGCTCATAAAAATAATGTAAGCTAAAACTCCTCTTTTTAAATATATTAAAAATAGTTATATATAAATAGCATTAAAAAAAATAACAGTTTTGCAGGAAGAATTTTAAATGTCTACCAATAGTCTAAAACAGTGCAATAATATTTTTTTTTTAAATTAAGTAGAGTTACCTCCCCCACACTCTTGTCCCTTAGGTTTGACGATACAATATTCGCCTCCCCTGGGCCATGTATTCCATTTGACATCAGCAGGGTTTACTGGGGTCGATTTTTTACACATGAGGAAGGTCATGGTTCTGTCCTTCTTAGAATATTTGTCTGGCGCAGAATCTATGGTCGGTGCCCACCGTCCTGACACTGGCAGACGGGCTGGTGTAGGATCGAATCCCGTCGGGCAGCGCTCACTTCCATACAGGACAATTTGAGTTTCAGGCCACGAGACGTTCTGTGTTGCTGTATATATATATATATATATATATATATATATATATATATATATATATATATATATATATATATATATATATATATCTATATATATATATATATATATATATATATATATATATATATATATATATATATATATATATATATATATATATATATATATATCTATCTATATATATATATATATATATATATATATATATATATATATATATATATATATATATATATATATATATAATATATAATATATGGTTTGTTTTTTTAATCATATATAAAATATATTTTTCTCATCTATATATATAATTCTCTTCTGGGAGCCGTTAGAAAACAAGCTGCAAGCGCGCCTTACAGTCCCCTCTCCTCCTCTCTATCGCTACCACCCCCTACCCTCCACCCCCTCACATGGTCTGGTGAGCTGTGGTTGACGCTGTTTACATTTTACAATCATAGAGACGGGTTTGGTGACGGCTATTAGGGGCAGATAATTTAGTTTGAAACGATTTTAAACTTAGAGGAGGTAACTAAGAGGAGGCTGCTTTCACGTGGGGGGATGGGGGGGGGAGGGGGGGGGGGTGGTGTTTTTAAGCAAATATTTTCAATGGCAGCATTGGTACTGTTGAATTCGTAAATTATAAAATAATGAAAAGTAGAAATAAAAAAAACTAAATAGCGGCGTATGATACGCAGCGGGTCGGCTCGTATATTATAATATACATGCATGATTTGTTGGTCTAAGAGTATACATCTCTTTCTAACGGTATTACCAATGTTATGGTGCACAGAAACATAAGAAAAATAGAATAACTCACGTCCATCAATGTGTGTCCTACAATTGGTGTTGTAATCCAACTCATCCGGACAGACACAGCGACACCGTCCATTGATCAACGTGTGGTAGCCTGGGCCACAGTCCGTCTGGTCGTTGTTGCAGAATAGTTCTGGAATGGGGGGTGTACAGTTATAATTAGCACAGCTTAGATATCACACGTGAGAGAGTTAGAGGTGTTAATTATAGCAGGTCGTCATTGAGTGATTTGATACGTCTTTGATTGGGCTACCAGATATTACTTGTATGTGAGGCAGGACTTCATTTAGACATTTTGTCATGTCCACAGGGTGGACCTAAAATAATATTTTCCAATTCAGTTTCGCGTGTTTTTGTTTCATCTGGGGAGTTGGTGAGGTGCTAGATTTGACGGAGGGGGTGAGGGGGTGAGGGGTGGAGGGGGGAAGGGGGAGGAGGGGGAGGGGGTGAGATTGAGGGGTGAGATTGAGGGGTGAGATTGAGGGGGTGAGGGGGGAGGGGGTGAGATTGAGGGGGGGGAGATTGAGGGGGGGAGGGGTAGAGGGGGGAGGGGGGTGATGGGGGAGGGGGTGATGGGGGAGGGGTGATGGGGGAGGAGGAGGGGGTAAGGGGTGAGGGGATGAGGAGGTGAGGGGGGGGAGGGGTGAGGGGCATTTCATGAAAGAAACATCTGGGGTTTTAACATCGGCCAATGATTTCAATATGGCCGTTATTACACAAATGTGTTTGTGTGAATTTTATCTTCTTTCTTCTAGACTACAGAATAGACGCTTCATTCCTCGATTATGGGAAACGAAAGCATAGCTTTATGATAAGTAGTTGTTTTACTATGTCCAGTTTCATTTACAAATGTGTCTATGTGACTCTTTTATACCTTTATGTATATGTGACTAACCGTTACACATGTATATGTGACTCACCGTTACACCTGTATATGTGACTCACCGTTACACCTGTATATGTGACTCACCGTTACACCTGTATATGTGACTCACCGTTACACCTGTATATGAGGGACAGTTCGTAGAAAACCACATTTTCTGCTGACATTGGCGGTGCCGAGTTGAAGAAATCATCTCTAATTGGCATGTATGTCTCCAGGCCCATCAAATGCCACGTCTGAGGATTAAACTAATCTTTAAACTAATGCAAAATATAAAAAAAACAGTTCGAATATGGATTTTTGTTTTGAGTAAAAACCAAGATAAAATTTAACAACTCATTTTACTAAATCGAGAAAATTGTACACCGTATCAAATATAGATAATTTCATATTTTGATACTACTTTTATAAGTGTACAGTTCCTGATATTATTGATAAAATAATTTGATGAAAAGAAAAAAAAACGTAGTTATGAAATGAATATAAAAAGATACGTGTTACCCTGTCAGTATACATCATAATCGAGTCCGGATCAAAGTAATCGTTCACTAGTGTGGTATCGGTGATTTTCTCATAGGCGAATACAAGATCTGTCGAGTATAACATTGAGGTCTAGTATACAGCTGGTAAGTAGGTCACCAAATAGTTCTATCGCTCATGCAGGTTTTATTGAGCCGTAGAACTGGTTGGTGACCTACTTACCAGCCCTATACCATTTTTTTTTATAATCTTTAGACTGCCAGTTTTAAAGAAAAAAAAATTGTTTTTAGCACTTGTGATGTGAGTGGGTAGGTGGATATGGTGGTGCGGGGTGGGGGTGGAGGGGGGGGGGGTTGGTGTAATTGGAATGAACTGTTACTTTTTAACTTTATAAGCTGCGGCCTAACTGGTAAAAATCAGGATGTGAATCATTTGAATACTTTGAGCCTTTTTATAATTTCAGATCCCTTTTTCTAAATTGTTTACTAAGGAGTCATTCAAAATTTAGCTTTTGGCTGCTGTGTACATGTCAAATAAAACTTTACTTAAAACCCTTTAAAGCTATGTAATTGTAAAGCAACAACTGACTTTTCTTGATGTCCGACTCGTGTATGGTCATGTAGAGGTCTCTGTTGGCGGCTGATTGGGTGTGGATGACCCCGAGGGAGTGGAGGATCTCGTGCAGGTTGATGCCCTACAAACAGACTATACCATATTACACACACACACACATATATATAGGCCTATATATATATATATATATATATATATATATATATATATATATATATATATATATATATATATATATATATATATAAATATAATAGTATTAACTGTAAATTTATAAAGCAGTTTGTCGATTTACTTATTGAATCCGTTATCAAAATGGCATGTATTATTACTAATATAATTATTGATTCGACATGCTATTTTGAAAAAATAAAATTCTCCCATTCTGTAAATCTAGCCTATGTAGACCGCTTAGATAAAAGTATTAATACGCTGATTGAAGGAACCCTCTTCACAAAAAAATATTCCAGCTTTAACATTAACAGACCGTAATATGTCAAATAAACTACCAATAATGACGACATACATACTAAATTTAACTAAACTAAATTCTGCGTTCCTAATTGTAATGTTGGATTGGATTTCCTCAAATTAAGTATTACATGACAGCATGTTACCCGCCATATAGGCTGTTATCGTCGAATACAGCCTGCCTTTCTTTCTTGTCTCTCCTAGATGAGTTGTTGTCCCCGTATATCGATGTCTCCATGTATCGATGCCCCCATTTATCGAAGTCACCATTTATCGATGTCTTCATGTATCGATGCCCCCATGTATCGATGTCCCCATGTATCGATGTCCCCATGTATCGATGTCCCCATGTATCGCTGTCCCCATGTATCGATATCCCCATGTATCGAGGTCCCCATGTATCGATGTCCCCATTTATCGAAGTCACCATTTATCGATGTCTTCATGTATCGCTGCCCCCATGTATCGATGTCCCCATGTATCGATGTCCCCATGTATCGATGTCCCCATGTATCGATGTCGCCATGTATCGATGTCCCCATGTATCGATGTCCCCATGTATCGATATCCCCATGTATCGATGTCGCCATGTATCGATGTCCCCATGTATCGATGTCCCCATGTATCGATGTCCCCATGTATCGCTGTCCCCATGTATCGATGTCCCCATGTATCGATGTCCCCATGTATCGATATCCCCATGTATCGATGTCTCCATGTATCGATGTCCCCAAGTATCGATGTCGCCATGTATCGATGTCCTCATGTATCGATGTCGCCATGTATCGATGTCCCCATGTATCGCTGTCCTCATGTATCGATGTCCCCATGTATCGATGCCCCCATGTATCGAAGTCTCCATGTATCGTTATCCCTAAGTATCGCTGTCCCCATGTATCAATATCCCCATATATTGATGCCCCCATTTATCGCTGTCCCCATGTATCGATGTCCACATGTATCGATGTCCCCATATATCGATGTCCCCATATATCGCTGTCCCCATGTATCGATGTCCACATTTATTAAGTGTCTCCATGTATCGACGCCCCCATGTATCGATGTCCCTAAGTATCGAATCCCATCTAACCAGGGACTAAACTAACTACACTAAAACAGACGACACATACACTGATGACCGATACTTACAAAACCATTACAGGCATTGACGACTCGAGGTCCTGGGTTCGTACCCTGGCCGTGACCTGAGTTACACCTGAGATTAAACAGATTATGTCAGGTGTTAATTATAGGTATCGTTTTCATTTAGTATGGTCAGTTCTTAATTAAATTGTATCAGGTTTTCAATGATGTTTGTCGTGTTCATTAAAATTGGTCAGATATTAATTAAATTGTGTCAGATGTTAATGATTTGTGTCGTTTCATTAAGATTTGTAAGATATTAATTAAATTGTGTTATGTGTTAAGGATGTGTGTCGTGTTCATTAAGGTTGATCAGAGGCGTAGCGACAGGGGTGGGGGCGGGGGGGGTACATATGTCTTCGGGCGCCGACCTTAGGGGCGCCAAAATAAGCTAACTTTAGCTGCTATTTTGAACTATAAATATTTTAAAAATAATTAGGGGTGGTCAGATGTTAATTAAATTATGCCAGGTGTTAATGATATGTGTCGTGTTCAGATTAGTCAGTTCTTAATGAAATTGTATCAGGTGTCGTGTTCATTAAGATAAGTCATATATTAATTGTGTCAGTTGTTCATTCAAATAATTCATATGTCAATAAATATTAATCTGTTGTAAATGAAACAAACACGTCCAGACCTCCATCTTACCCACTGCTTTGCTTAAAGTGCATGTACGAGTTGGTTTTGAACCCGTGGCTGGTGAACCAGGTGGGATCTTTAGAGTCATAGGTGCTCGTGACGTCATGGAAGGTGAGACACACGCGGCTAGAGATGTAGTCCAGCACCAGTCTCAAGGTCATGCGGTCACCTTGACACAGAACCAAGACAAAAAAATTTTTTAAAAACATGATAATAATTAGCTTTTAAGAGCTTTTAATATTAAAAAAAAAACAGAAAATAAAAACAATCTTCATTTTTTTAATAAAATAATATGTCTCCATTAAAGTGCGTAGATTTTATGAACAACCAATTTTAAATACAAAAAGCCTGTCTAATTTATTTTCTGATTTTCATTTCAATTAAATTTTAATTTAATGGCTAATTACAATAAATGTTTTTTTCTTTCCAGAAAATTGGCAACGGACTAAGAAGGAGCAGATTATGGTAACAAAATGTCATTCGTTGTGTTTTAAAGCAAATATTTGTATTAATATTTAGTGTCATCTGCATTAAGAACGAATTGATAATAAGTAGAGAATATAACAAACAAAAAATTCCTTATAATAAAAAGCTTTTAGATGCTCTGATATATAAAATAACAATCACACAAATGTTTACGAGTACTTAACAGATTGTGTACTCCCCTAATCAACGTACCCGTTCATACTTAACTGTCCGTCAATGTCAGGTGAAAATATACGCAGGAAAATATTCGATTTAATACCCGAGGTAGAGTACACCCTACATCTTCTACGCGACACATCCTTAATTACAGTGATACTTGTTTTTAATTATAGCGGTACGGCTAATCGGAAATGGTGTATTTGGTTTACCTATGAACATGACGCGCCCTCACCTGTGTACGCCTTGTGAATGACGTAAGGAATATCGTGGGGCCAGTTCTTGGCTGTGTCATTGAACGTCGCCCTCCTGGTCCGGTGTACGTGCTCTACCCACTCGACCACAATAGGCGATCTCGATCTGTGGATAGACCAAAACGTACGCATTAATAAAATAAACATGAACACATACATCAAGAAATCTGTACGCATTAATAAAATGAATATGAATACATTAACAACAAATATGTACAGGTAAATAAACAAATATGTACACACAAATTAAACACTATAATATCTGTATTACAATGTTTCTTCCAGACATTTTTTCTCCGGGAGGAACACTTGAAATGTTCGGGGGATGACGAAAAATTCCGGGGGCAGACACTGTTAAAAGTATATTTTTTCTTTATAAATTCCAATTTGTTCGGGGGGGGGGGGGGGAGTAGACTTGACCTGGAAGAAACACTGCTGTATTATTGCACGTTTTCTTTTTTAAATCACTAAAAAACAAAACTAACAAACTATCTTTTTTTTTTTTAAATTAGGGGTTTATTGCTAAAATGTGAGATTTCATGATTTTCTAGCGCTTTTACTAAATCAAAGGAAATTGTTAAATTTGTCTAGTTTCAATTGTTTAAAAATGTGTTAGTATAAAGGTTTCTATTTGTTTTATTTCTAATTTGTTAGTAATTTAGTTTTAAAAACAACGAGTTTCCAATTTATTCAATTCACCCAATTTGCTTTTAACTACCCAGGGTTAACACCTTATTTGACTTTAAATATTTGCCACGACCCGGTCCGTATATGGCGATTATCTGCCCCTTATAACGTCCGTGGCTGAGTTTTCAATGGGAAACAACTGTGAAAATGTCCCAAACAATGTTATCTGTAGTGGCCTGATACTTGTCAGGTAAACAGAAGGTCGGTATTGCTGAGAGCTTGTCGTGGGCTGGAAGTTTTACGTTGACAATATATTTTTAAAAGTTAATACAGATGATGGAAATAGGCCGACTTAATTTTCTAGCTGTATTTTTATTTGTTTTCGCACAGAGTAGCCTCACTAAAGAGTTTCACCACAGCGACCTAACCATCTGTATCAGATTGAAAATCATCTTTTTTTTTTCTGACAAGCAACTTTTTTCTTTCAAGCACTTACTCACTCCGACAATCAACATTTAATTATGTGTAATGATATGGTAATGATATGCATTGTAGATGTCAACAAACCTGGTCAGCCGTGTCCTGACGATCTTGGCATCGTGGTCTTCATCAAAACCTTTCTGTAAAAATAGATTCAAATTTTAGTCATGTATTTATTTATATTTTTCATTCATTCATTCAGCTCATTGATTTATTTTATTAATTTTCTATTTTTGTCTATTTATATTCTTTTTTTTTTCAGGTAGTCATAATATGTTAAAACTAAACTTTTTCTCATTAAATTGGCATATTAAATTAAAGAGTTTTTATTAGACATTAATAAAACATAACTTCAATTCAAATCCTAATTTCCAAACGGAGGCACATTTTGATGAAGTAGTTTCCCTTTTAAAAAGTTATTTTTAGAAAATAAACCACTCAAATATAAATGTTACTTTATTAAGCTCATCTTCTCTTTATTACAAACTATCTCCTAAATCGATGTCGTTCAACTGTCTCCAAAGAGTGGCTGAATTTTTTCGAGTCCGTTGCCATCCTTATGGTCAATGTTAAGCAAAAACATAATTTGTGCAATTGCACTCCCAATGGGGTTTGCGTGGTCGGGTCGGTAAAGCCAATGGTATCTAAACCTAAAAATCAAGTGTTCGAATCCACGGGCAGATAAGTCGTGAAAGCTGGGGGACAGCAACCAATCTAAGAGAGACAACTCCAAAATCAAACAACTGCTGCCTTGTAGTTTGTATCTTGGTAGGACAAAGGCTATGGAAGCAAATCCAAAAAGAAAAGCAGGCTGAAATCGGAGTCAATGGCCTCAATGGCGCATAATCAGTTGACACGTGATACTGAGCCGTGCTGATGAAAATCCAGTCCAACAGTATATGTGAGAACGTAAAAGAAGAAAACGCCCGTGTCTTATACAGCAGCTATATTAATAGCTAATTAGGCAAACTATTTTTTTTTAACTATTAATTTGTCTCCATCTTGCATTTATACACATTAGGAATAAAAAAAAACATAAAAAAAACATCGTCTTCTGTTGTGATAATAAAGAGGCTGGAATACACATTCCTTACATAAGCTGAGGTTCAGAAAATAGATTACCTCTATTTTTCTCTCTATATGGTATAAAAATAGCTCACACATTTTAAATTATATAATTAATATCAAAACGTTAATAAGTAAAAATTGTCATTTTACTACCCACACCTGATGATTTTAAAATCTATTTTATACCATCGATCGCTTATGAAATCTATTTAACATAATTTTTAAGAGAATAACAGTTTTACTAGTATATCTTATGTAAGACAGGTTTATTTTTATTGTACCGTAATTTTCGAGCATTTAAAATCTAGTTATAAAAAGTTACTTCAATAAAAAGTCATCTACTATCAGACATGACGGAGTGGTCTAGCGGTAGAGAGCTGGACTGCTAACCCGTAAGTCCCGACTTCGAATCCGGATTCAAGTCAGTAGACCGTCCCTGAGTCCACCCAACTCTGATGGGTACCTAACTCACGTTAGTGAAAGTAAAGGCGACTGGGCATAGTGCAGACCACACTATCTCGTCATATGCCGAGGTCACAGAAACAAGTGAACTCTACTTCACTTGCACCATAGATCGTCAGGTTTGAAAAGGGAACTGTACTTTTTTACTATCAGACCTAAGGAAAATATTTGAGCTAGTGTTAACATAGGGCCAAAAAATATAAAAACTTCATGTGTGCCTTTAATGATTGAATAAACTTTTGCTTCTTTATTTTTTATTTTTTTTTTATTTTTATCTATAACATATTCTGTCAACACAATACAAAGCATAATGTATAACCAATATTTATCTTTGTTAAACGTTTGTACGCGCAGGCTTCCACTAGTCCATTGTTTAAAAAGTCTACAGAAGGAACATAAAATGTAAAATATTGGTTTGTAGTGGGCCCTAAAATATCAGAGGCCCTAGGCTGCTGCCCGGCCAACCTCCCGATAAAACCGCCACCGGCTAAAAGGGAAATAACTCTGAACTTACTTCATGTTCCCTGTGAGCGAGACTTGGAAAACAACAACACAAGAAGATGATGGATCCTAAGGAAAACATCCTCGCATGTGCCATATTTTTAAAATGTCTATGCCTGCAGGCCAATGAACTTTTCAACAATATGGTTAATGATTCTTTTGTCTTAGTTAATTTGATTAGTTTCTAACCAAATAAATACAAGGACTAGTCTAAAATAAGCAAAATAGTTAAATCACACTACCGCGAGCTACCACCGTACGAGTGATATACATCCTCAAACGCTGATGTTTATAATTAATGCTACGCACACGTAAAAAAACAACAGCTCCGTCAACCACAAACCCAACAGCTTTACCAGGCAGACTAAATATAGCCTGGGGGGAAGCTAGAGTTGTTTCCCTTGACGTTGTGTTACTTCCCCTGCCGCTGTGTTTTGTCGCCAGATATCCGCTTATATTGCGTCACAAGCGCTTATATATAGTAGCGACCTGGGGCATAAATAGGTTGTTTATGCAGGTAAATACATGTTCAGGTGTTTGATGGGGCGTGAGGTACATAACCTGTTGATTGAGATCAACATACAGACACGATTTATTGGACAGCCTAGCAGCATATTGCGCCTCAACTAATGAAATAATGAAACAAATATGGCAGTTTTTTCGGCGTAACGACCTCGGTGAACCTCGGGTTAATTAAAGGAATATTACTGTAAATTTGCCTGAATCAAAACGCCTCATTCCGGTTAAACGAAACAGCCGTTTTATAATTTAGTGTTATATATATATATATATATATATATATATATATATATATATATATATATATATATATATATATATATATATATATATATAATGTACTAAACTGCGGATACGATGGTGCTACTAAAATGAATCGCTAAATCGAACCTGGTCCGTCCACCGACACCCCGGCAGGTTGCTTTTTGGCTACCCGGACTCTCCCGTGAGTACTCTTACGCATATGTTCATTTTAAAGAGTACCCTACAATAAGGACACGTTGGAACATAACTAGTACGGATTGTGAATATAATAGGCTTACTCTCAATGCTTCCATAAAGAAATCTCTGTGGCGTTTTTATTCCTTTTACCAATGGATACCAATTTTCTTCCCCAATAGATCCCACTTTTCCTTCTCCAATGGATCCCATCTTAAAATATGGATCCCACTTTTCACCATTTCTTACCATTGTATTCAAATTATTCCCAAATGTCAGCTTCATATTCCAATAAATCCAATTTTTCCTTCCCCACTGAATCACACTTTTCCTTCCCCACAGGATCCCAATACTTATTCCCCGCTGAATCACACTTTTCCTTCCCCACAGGATCCCAATGCTTATTCCCTACTGAATCACACTTTTCCTTCCCCACAGGATCCCAATACTTATTCCCCACTGAATCACACTTTTCCTTCCCCACAGGATCCCAATGCTTATTCCCCACTGAATCACACTTTTCCTTCCCCACAGGATCCCAATACTTATTCCCCACTGAATCACACTTTTCCTTCCCCACAGGATCCCAATGCTTATTCCCCGCTGGATCACGCTATTTACTCCCCTAATGATCACACATATCTTGTAGTTAAATTGGTGTTAACAACAAGACTCCTCAGGCTGGCGTCATTAGAAAAACAAGACCCCTTATTCCTAGCGTCATTACAACAACAAGACCCCTTCAGCCTAGCGTCATTAGAACAACAAGACCCCTTCAGCCTAGCGTCATTACAACAACAAGACCCCTTCAGCCTAGCGTCATTAGAACAACAAGACCAGCCTAGCGTCATTACAACAACAAGACCCCTTCAGCCTAGCGTCATTAGAACAACAAGACCAGCCTAGCGTCATTACAACAACAAGACCCCTTCAGCCTAGCGTCATTAGAACAACAAGACCAGCCTAGCGTCATTACAACAACAAGACCCCTTCAGCCTAGCGTCATTAGAACAACAAGACCAGCCTAGCGTCATTAGAACAACAAGACCAGCCTAGCGTCATTAGAACAACAAGACCAGCCTAGCGTCATTAGAACAACAAGACCAGCCTAGCGTCATTACAACAACAAGACCCCTTCAGCCTAGCGTCATTAGAACAACAAGACCAGCCTAGCGTCATTAGAACAACAAGACCCCTTTAGCCTAGCGTCATTACAACAAGACCAGCGAAGTGTATCGTACCAGATAATTCACCAGATTAGAGGGTGGGGACGTCTAATTGAGCTGTTATCTTACACATCTTGTCAGCATATCTTATACTCATAGGATGTCATGTTGATTTACTTTAAAAACAAATATTCATGTGATTAATGAGATTGTTTCTTTTAAATACATAAATAACAATTTATAAAATTGTATAAATTTATACCCATAAGAAAATAACCACTTCTAAACCTGTCATTTCTGATCAGGTTTCACCTTCCAGAGTTGCACTCCTACACACACAATACATAATGGGGAAGTCTCATGAATCTCCACCCCTCCATACTCTATCGTAGTTTTAAATTAAATCTCATGTATAAGTGTCTGTTTTTTTTTTTTTGTTAATTTCGTAAAAGAGCTTTCTTTTTAAAACAACCTTCAACAAAATTTATCAACATTCTTTTCTTTGGTGCAAAAAAATTCTTAATTAAGTTTAACACAGGTGTGAAATAGGTAGCCGTATCTTGTTCTATTTAGACTAGTTTATTTACTTTTGTTAGTTTAACGTGTATGTTCATATGGCCTTAGATACGCCTCATGTCGTGTTGTCCTGTTAGGATTTGTACATAATGTTGTCAGGTGTTGTTACGTTAACATGTGTGAGGGTTTTTGTTGTTACGTTAAGGTGTGTGAGGGTTTATGTTGATACGTTAAGATGTGTGAGGGTTTATGTTCATATGTTAAGGTGTGTGATGGTTTTTGTTGATACGTTAGGATGTGTGAGGGTTTATGTTCATATGTTAAGGTGTGTGAGGGTTTTTGTTGATACGTTAGGGTGTGTGAGGGTTTATGTTGATACGTTAGGGTGTGTGATGGTTTTTGTTGATACGTTAGGGTGTGTGAGGGTTTATGTTGATACGTTAGGGTGTGTGATGGTTTTTGTTGATACGTTAGGGTGTGTGAGGGTTTATGTTGATACGTTAGGGTGTGTGAGGGTTTTTGTTGATACGTTAGGGTGTGTGAGGGTTTTTGTTGATACGTTAGGGTGTGTGAGGGTTTTTGTTGATAATTTAGGGTGTGTGAGGGTTTTTGTTGATACGTTAGGGTGTGTGAGGGTTTTTGTTGATAATTTAGGGTGTGTGAGGGTTTTTGTTGATACGTTAGGGTGTGTGAAGGTTTTTGTTGATACGTTAAGGTGTGTGAGGGTTTTTGTTGATACGTTAGGGTGTGTGGGGGTTTATGTTGATATGTTAGGGTGTGTGAGGGTTTTTGTTGATACGTTAGGGTGTGTGAGGGTTTTTGTTGATACGTTAGGGTGTGTGATGGTTTTTGTTGATACGTTAGGGTGTGTGAGGGTTTATGTTGATATGTTAGGGTGTGTGAGGGTTTTTGTTGATACGTTAGGGTGTGTGAGGGTTTTCGTATATACGTTAGGGTGTGTGAGGGTTTTTGTTGATACGTTAGGGTGTGTGAGGGTTTTTGTTGATAATTTAGGGTGTGTGAGGGTTTTTGTTGATACGTTAGGGTGTGTGAGGGTTTTTGTTGATAATTTAGGGTGTGTGAGGGTTTTTGTTGATACGTTAGGGTGTGTGAAGGTTTTTGTTGATACGTTAAGGTGTGTGAGGGTTTTTGTTGATACGTTAGGGTGTGTGAGGGTTTTTGTTGATACGTTAGGGTGTGTGATGGTTTTTGTTGATACGTTAGGGTGTGTGAGGGTTTATGTTGATATGTTAGGGTGTGTGAGGGTTTTTGTTGATACGTTAGGGTGTGTGAGGGTTTTCGTATATACGTTAGGGTGTGTGAGGGTTTTTGTTGATACGTTAGGGTGTGTGAGGGTTTTTGTTGATACGTTAGGGTGTGTGAGGGTTTATGTTGATATGTTAGGGTGTGTGAGGGTTTTCGTATATACGTTAGGGGTGTGTGAGGGTTTTTGTTGATATGTTAGGGTGTGAATGTGTTTGTTGATAGTAGTGTGCACTACTGTGTAAAATCTGTACGTGTGTTGATATGTAGCTGGTTATTCTAGTTTGTGTTTGTGTGTTGATAAGTAACAGATTGTGATAGAAAATTAAGCTCTGCGTTGATATACGAGAGTTAGTAAGTGTGTAATGTTATGGCAGTATGTGTTGACGATTGAGGGGTGTGTTAGAGTTAGAGTAGGTGTGATGGTAATGTGGTTATGCTAGTGTATGTTTTAGTTTGTCTGTGTGTGGTTGTCACTACATATGTGAGCAAGGCTATTTTAGATATATGAGAGTGTATGTGTTAATATGTTATTGCTTTATGTTAGGTTATTGAGTTCCATTCAGTTCCAGAGGCGTAGCAGCCGATTACATTTTTCCACCTCTCCCTCCCTTTCTATTTATAATTATTCCTGTCTTTGAAAAAGCGTCGCCCCCCTTGTTTTGAAAAAGACCCCCCCCCCCCCCCCCGAAATAAAAAAATAAAGAAAGAAAACAGTTAAATCAACGTGAAAAGCGTTGAAGTCGTTTTCTTTCGTAACTTTGACTGTAACTTAATAGTTCAGCTTAAAATAAGCTTAAAATGAGCTTTTCATTTAATTTTTTTTACCCCTTTTTGCGCCCCCTAAGGGTCGGCGCCCAGGGCGGCTGCCCCACCCGCCCTCCCCTAGCTACGCCACTGGCTTGTTCTTCGCTCTTAATTCTAGTGTTGGAAGGGATTCCCTCCAACATAATTAAGTATTACGGGTCAACTTGTTATGCGACATATAGGTCGTTGACTCCAATTTCAGCCTTTCTTTCTGGATAAGCTTCCAATTGCTTTGTCCAACCAAAACAAACTACAAAGCAGCAGTGGTTTGATTTTGGCATTGTATCTCATAGAAGAGTTGCATCTCCAGCTATCCGAGCCTCATCTGCCCGGAATTGAATTCGATCTCATGTCTATCAGGTTCAGCAACCATGAGCTTTACCGACCCGACCAGGCCGATCTATTAGTGCTATTTGATTGTATTGTGCTGTAAACTTAAACACAACACACACTGTGTTGCAGCTTAATGTGTTCATCTGTATACATTATAATCATTTTATTTTCTTCCTCTAACTACTAGAGGTTAAACTAAGGTCTGTTATAAAATCAGATGCTACGTTCAAACTAAAACTGAATCTGCAGTTAAAATTAATTATTAACGTGATTAAAAAAACATCTAGTCATTAAAA